ATATTACCGTGAAAAAGGTGGATGGTACGACTGTGGAGATCTCTATTGATAGCTCAGCTACAGTGGAGGAGCTGAAGGATGTAGTCTCCATAGTCTTAGTGGCACTGCTATTGGTGCATACAGGTAGTTCAGCAGAGAACACAAATACCAAAGGTTTCCCAACGACTTATATTTCGTGGCCAAATACTAAGTGATGAGAAGACGTTGAAGGACGCAGGTGGGTGGGATAGTTGTGGTAGTCCTTGGACATTAGCGGCGGCTATCAGGTTTGGATAGCGACGGGTTGACTGTGCATTTGGTCCGCCACTTGGTGCCTCCTGCACATCCCAAGGCAGGCCAGCAAGCAGCTCCTGTACAACAGCAGCAGCAGCCGACCTTGAGGCTAGGTAAGGCTAGGCATCATAGTGTTGGCCTAGGTGCAGGTGTAGGTGCAGGGGGCCAGAGTGGGTCGGCCCCCTTCTCTATGCCTGGAATGGGACAGGGTGGGATGACACCTGAGGCGTTAGCAGAGATGATGAACAACCCGTTGGTGGAGAGCATGATGTCTAATCCCCAAATCATGAGAAGTAATACCACATGCCTGCGTCGCTCCGCCTGATATAGCGCTTGCCCTAGTATTGTGAAGTGTCAGCCGCGATTAGGCGAGATGATGGTATGGTTCAGGTCTTATTGAGATGAATCCCCAGATGCAGCAGCTCATGCAACAGAACCCCGAGTTGAGGACTCTGATGGAGGACCCGGAGGTCGGCAGGGACGGCACGTTTGAGGTCTTGGTATGTGGTGTTTCCCAGTTTTTACGACAAACCATGCAAGCTGCTCGTAACCCGAGTATGATGCAGGAGATGATGCGTAACAACGATCGGCAGATGGCCAATCTGGACAGCATACCGGGTAGGGCAGCAGCCAACCTTGTGCATGCGTGCATGTGGGCTCAGTATGGGTGTACTTTAGGTGGGTATGCAGCCTTGTCGAGGATGTATCGGGATGTGCAGGAGCCGATGTGGAATGCCGCTTCGGGAGGTACTTGTGGAGTATGTTGAGTAGTGATAGTTGGTCCTCAGCTGATGCACATGCTGGGACTTCATCGGCATCACAGTTGATGCAGGCAATGCAGCAGGATAGGGATGCTGCTGGTCCTAACAACAGGCCTCTTGGCAACCCTTGGGGAGTGGCTGGGCCTCCATCT